ATTTACAATTCTACTGTGCTTGAACGAGAAATGTCCCCCCTTTGGGAATGGCCTAAAGACACTACAGTCATTGGCACTGCCCCAGGGGTGTTAAATTTCCCGGTAGTTCTTTTTTCTTGAATTCAAACAATACTAGATGCTTGATATCCACTGTTTTTTCTACAAGAGCACAATATGACTGATTCACACTCTTTTAAGCCATACCTAGATGTTGAAGTTACTCTTACAATTAATTTCTAAGCTGACAAGTCTTTTCAGACTTTGGGGAATAATTCAAAACTTCCCCCCACACAGATGGTTACATGTTCATCCGTTCACTCTTTTTTCACTTTTTCAACTTTAAGGCCATCTTTGAAAGTGGTACACAAAAAACATAATTTGATCATTTAAAAGTGATCTTTAATTCATCCTTTTTTCACTGGAAGATTCTTAATCTTTGCTACTCCAGGAACTGAACTGCAAAAAGTGCAAAGTTGCTCAGACACGAGAATCAAACCAGGTACGGTAAACCTTTGAAATTCAAAAACATTCTGTGACCATAAAATTTACCTGAAAAGGATAGAAACTAATAACACATTCTCGTGAACTTACCCTTCCTTCCAGTTCAGGTGGATACCTGGTTTGGAACTTGACAGGTATGCCCTCTGAGAAATCTCTTTGTATGAACACTTTCGTGTGAGGTGATCTCTGTGTATCCATAGTCCAATGCTGATTTCAACAGGAGCTGCAACTCCAGGGAGAAAGAGTCCTCAAATATCTGAAAATAAATCAAACAGCTGACTTTTATTGTTATAACGGTAAATGAAACCTTTGCCTTTAACCTTGACCTACAGAATCTGTTGTTTATTTTGTCTGGTTTGATAATTCATTCTTTCTTAAGGTGTGTGTGCATGGTAGGAGGGATGGGGCTGTATGCACAAAATGTCAAGCAAATGGGTTTGATTACTTAGAATCTAAAACAATTTACTTTTCTTTCAAGACTATAATTTAGAAAAGAAGAAAACAACTGTACTGTGTGAGAGTAAAATTTAAAGAAAAGGGTACTTTACATGCAATACAAAGACTACTACATGGGCACAGCTTTCCTTCTACAACGTATTGTTTGGAACAGCTTGAAAGTATTGTTTCCATACACCATAGCTATTTATATAATAACTGCAACATTTAAAGATTTTAACCACCAGTATTTGAAGGGAATAGTCACGTGGTGAAAAAAATAATAGATAATGTCCTAGATCTAATTTGTCCAACCAAGCAGACCACACAGAAAAGAAGTATCAGTTTCCTCCTACTCAACCATCCAGCCCGGCCAACCAAGTATTTATCAATAAACAAAACAAGAGCCTTACACTGATTTTATTTGAGATTTGACAATGTGACAAAGTGACAAACAATGCAGAAGTCGCAGTGTTCAGCATTATGGTTCATCAGGGGTCACATACACACATCACAAAATGACAACAATAATCCCTCTCTATCATCTGTGTGTTAGCGTATTTTCAAATTCAAGCTATATATTATATATATGTGTGTGAGGCAGCGTGGTGAAATCAGGCGCTCGCGAAATTACAGAAATCGGAGAAACAGACAATTTTCCGCTAGTTTGGAATTTTTTTTCTAATTTTTGTTTTTTGGCTGAACACCTTGTATTGTATATCCACGCCCACACCTTTGGTTTCCATGTTTCTACTAATTTCCTGTTTGGGTGGTTGGGGCACATTCTTTTGGTTCTTTCAAGGAGCTCCCAAAACTGCTTTATCTCTGCGAATTCCCAGGGGCTCAATATTTGAAAGAATTTCACATGTGGCACTAGGTGTAGATCTCATGCCACCGTTTATGAAACAAAGGGTATTATACTTAGAACCTTGTCAAGGGTAATGCAAGTAGTTGTGAGTAGGCTATTGCTGAATTCCAGGGAAGATCGGACATAACCAAGGAATAGAGCTCTTAGAGTTTGTTTGTCTGATGACCATGAACTGCTTACGGGTTTCTTTAAAAGCTAGAGTCTTCTTTTCACCTTGTCTCAAGTTCTTTATGCTTTCCACTTGGCTTTTCAAGGTCAGACTTTGGTAAAGTTTGACTCCTAGGTATGTTGGTGGTTCTTCTTTCGGAAGATTTTCATTTTATATCTTCAGTTGGAGTTTATCTTTGGCTGTTTTATGGCTCTTTGTAAAGATGGTGTGATACTGTTTTTGTGAGGGGTAGGGGTAGGATTGCAGGATTAACTGAGATTGTTTTGTAACATACGATTGCAAGATAAGATGGTAGGCAGTGGCTACGTTCACAGTGCCCTGAATGTAGTTTGCAGGCTACATTCACAGCACCTTGAAAGTAGATCTAGTTTGCAATTTAAGAACGAGCTTGCTCATTTCACCACCTACCCTCTTCCCTTTTGCTTCCTCATTTAAAAAAAAAAAAAATTTCACCCCTTCCTACCCCTCTTTCCGCCTTGGCCTTCTTCCATTCTCCCTTGTTTCTTAGAGCAGCCTTTATTTTCAAATTGTCAAGGGCCACAGGGTCTCCACACGGGAAGAGGAAGTCGTGTTCCGCGCCCTGAGTGAGCGAGGACTTGTCAACTGTGCCCGCCTTTGCCCTCCATGGCGTAAACTCCGTTGCAGTCGGAGCACCGCTGCATTATTTTTCATACTAATCATACAACTCGTATTCTTATGCTGTTTCCTCATTGACTATGTGCGACCATAGCGTTTCAGTCATGCCTCTGTGCCAATGGTAGATGATTCAGGGCGCCATGAACGTAGCCTGCAAAAGTAACTGCGGTGCCATGAACGTCGTCACTGCAAATATGAATGATAGGAGGAGGATAGACAATGGGTAATCCTTTCAGCGGTCACGAGTTTGCAGTGAGACCGCACAAGACTTCCGGTAGATGACTCACAGGAATGCCAGATTGACATGTTTTTTATTTTTATTATTTTGTTGCTATGTTACTGTTAATTATTTAAATAAATATAAAATACATAAATACAGTAACCGTGATTTAAATTCTTGGCAAGACTGAAGAATTCCGGATTGGACCAGCGGATGGGGACTAGGCTACTTTTGCCGAGATCTCTCTGCGTCTCAACCTTAGGAGTTGATGACTTTCCCCATTTTTTAATCAGTAAATTTGTACTTATGCACCCACACAGATGCATTGATTTGAGGGCTAAACTGTCACAATTTTTGCTGTACCACGTATGGACACTAAAACCCTTGCAATTATCAATTGATTTCAGGTATATCAATCCTAATTGCCAGAACATCAAATCATTGTGAAATGCAGGGGGGCATGCCCCCCTGAAACCCCCAGATTCTTTTTAGGTCGGGGGGGGGGGGGGGGCACCCCCTGAAACCCCCCAGGTTGTTAAATTAAGTCAAATAATCGGTCCCTGTGGTTTTAAGCACCCTACATAATTTAGCAAAATTTGATCTTTTTTTCATCATAAAATCTGATTATTTTCCTTTACCATTCTTTGTTAAAATTAACAGAATCGCATAATTTCACACTTTTGGGCTTAGTTCGCATAATTTCAGAGTTTTTCTTGCACAACAGGGACAGAATATTATATTCAAACATCAATAAATCAATAACTATTGATTTGCGGCAAAAATGAAGGCCATTATTCGTGTTCAGCACGCAAAATACTACTAGAAAAGGAAGTATAAAAATGTGAACATGAGACGGGTGCAAGAGTAAAAAAAAAAATCTTTTGAAGTCTCTCAATGAAGAATCTCGGAACGGTAGATCTATTCATTGTTAAAAGTTTGTCAGGGGGGAGGGACCCCTGAACACCCCACCCCCCATCCCCTGCCCCCCATTCTCCCGAAATAATCAAAAATTCATCGGCACATGTTCTCACAACTTACGAGGCAATGTCGTTGGCCGAACGTAAACTTTACAAAACCGTAGTAATTGGGACCGCAGAAGGCAAGGATTACCGACGATAGCACAGTTCAGTAGAGGTAGGGTTAGTAGCCTACAAGCATAGATGAACAGAAGTACCAATGGGGCTAAAATCGGATCCAAACCAAATTTGGCTGTCAAGCTGTTAATTATTAGTTCTAGGTGCATGATTGAAGAATACCGGACGAGCGGATTAGGACTATTTAGATTCTGCTAATAAAACCTTAGGAATTCATGATTTTCCCACGTTTTTAATCTCTCAATAAATATTATGAACAATCTCAGGGACTGGTAGCCTAGCTATTCATTAAAAGTTCGAAGTGACCATTTCTCCGAACGTTCTGGAAAATAAACTTGCACTTTATTTCTCCGAACAGAGTCCGTTCTCGAGATTTTTTGGTAACTTACGAGATTTAGGCGTCATATTTCATTTTGTCATTCTGCAAGGAATAGAAGCATTTTTTGCATCGTATTCAATTGCTAAAGCTTAGAGATTTTTAAATGTCAGAATATTTGACAGATATACTATACTTCAATTGTCTTGGGGCAACGATCCGTTTTCCCAGACCATACTTCATTTGAAAATGCCTTCAAAAGGTACAGCAAGAAAACAAGACTGATCGACATTGGCAGTAACCCATTTTTTTTTGCATTTAGTCACGCAAGAAAAACTAAAATCCTTTATGTAAACAACCCCCCCCCGTTCACACCTTACACACACACCCACTCACACACGCCCCTCCATTCGCAAATCATCAACAAATCTCGAGAACGGAAACCGTTCTGAGAAATAGAGTTCAAGTTTATTTTCCCAAGTGTTCGGAGAAATAGAGCCGCCTTAAAAGTATACACATCAGGGGCAGGGGGTCTAGCAATGCCAATCGGCTTTCCTGCGCGGCGAAAATTTGGTCACCGTTTGCAGGCGATTTTGCAGACCCAGCCGAAGCATAGGTGACTAACTTTGTCAACCTCGGCCTGCTCTATTTCCGAACCAATCCGAATGAAACTCGGCAACCAATCAGAAAATAGGGAAAACTAATGATATCTGGACGTTGAAGTTCGTACACATAAATTACGAAGTGACTATTTCTCCGAACGTTCGGAGAAATAGTGCCGATCTTTATTTCTCAGAACGGTTTCCGGCTTCTGGTCTCGTGATTTTTTGCCGATTTATTGCGAGAGTTCGGCTCCAACTTTCATTCTGCCTCTGATCTGGGAAGGAACACCGCATGGCAAGCCCGCCTACAGACAACCTTCAGTAACACCCACCACACACACCACCATCATGCACATGTACACACACTAACTAAACATGACCAGTGGGCAACTTTTGAACGTATGACGAGCTGAGCTGTGGATGGACAGACAGTGTGAGTGAAAGAGCGGGTGAAAGGAAGAATATATATATATATGCGAGTGTATCCACAGGCGACAGCAACTACAAGACGACGACACTGACCCCCCCCCCGGCCTGGTCCACAGCTCACGAAAGAAAGGAATGCAGCTCAGGCAGTGTTTTACCATAGATATTATTGTCCATGGTTCGCAGGGTGCAAGGGAATGAGTGAGATTTTCATTGTGTGTGCCTGGAGGGAGGGGGTGGGGTATGAAAGTCATGCGGACAGGGATGAGCCGCGGGAGAGAACACGGGAATTGAATGAATGAGTGAAACTGAAAGAGACGAACGACTCATGAGCCCTAGAGTGAATGGATCCTGTGTTTCTATTTTGTATACTTTGAACTGTTACTGAATAAAGGCTGAAATAAAGCCCCAAAAACAAACACACACACACACATGACTCCTCACTCTCCACTTACTACCACACACAGACACACTCACACACGCACCAGGGGCGAAGGCTGACTTGTTTGACAGGGTAATCAAAGTGAAATGGGACCAGATAGGGCCTTAAGATATCACACTCACACAAGTCACAAGAATCTTACTGGCACTGGATGCGGCAACTCTTGAGTTGTGAATGAAAACAAATCCTGAATTCATGTTGTATGCTTGTTCAACCGCTAAAATAATCGGGAAAGTATTTAATTAAATATTTATTCTAACTAACCTTAAATTTAACTTTAGATTTGAACACACGAACACCAAGGAAAGAAACACAGATGTCAGCACTACAATGGCATGTTATACCAGACAGCCGAAACACTTTGGTAGAGTACGCCAACTATCAATTTTTTATTTCACATTTGGCTGTTTTTTGTCTAGCTTTTCGTGGCCGAGCCGCTGTCATAATCGACGTCACGATCTGATTATAGGACGTTAAAAAGTCGAGGAAAAAAACAAGCACTAGCAGTGTAGTAGCAGGAGTCAAAGGATTATTAGGAGTTAGTTCCCTTCACATCTGTGAGGTAGACTCGACCAGTGTAATAGTTCGCTTAGATAATCAGCGCGTCTGGGTGCTTATAACTGTGGCCCGAAAGGGGTGAATATGCGACAATGAAACAGTTCTGACTGCTATGCACATGTTCCCTTCAAATCCATTGGTTGACTCTTCCAGCCTCACTTTAAGCTTACTTAATGAAAGCTTGTGACTGCTTATGGAGTGGCCCGATAGGGGCGAACAGGCTATTTCTGTGGCAATGAAACGGTTTTGAAGGTTAGGCATAGTCTATTGTTCATTGGTGATTATGAACGTCTTTTTACATTTAATTTATGAGGTTTACGTCTATGGGTGAATTTGACTGCGACAATGTTTCAAAATTAGGAAGGGAAGCAGTGATTTGATTATATAGACGCTTCACCTCTGACACGCACATACATACACACACACTGTACACACACACACAGGAGCAAATTTTTGGGTCTATATCTATAAATTATCAATTTTCAAGAGCTAGTCTAGAGATTTTTAGATGAGTGTAAAAATGTAAAAAAGAAAGGTTTCACAAAACAGAAAGAAATCAAAATTAGAACAGCCCATAAACAACAACAAACATTATTAAAAAATAAGGGCGAATGTCCACCTGTCCGAAGAAGATTGGCTGTTTTAACCCTAAATGTGCGTAATTTTTAAAAACGTACAGACAGGACATTACGTGTAAATTATGGAATCACACACATTAAGGGGCTTTGCCAGTGTCAGTACATTGGTCGCAGCAGTTACAAACGCATGCCAGTTCTATGTGTCGTTATCAATAACCCTCCGTAGATCTAGATCTAGATCTAGACAGCACACGAGTGAACACAACACATTACGTTTAAGAGCAGTACCCTTCATAGGCAACACGCCATATCTGTAGCGAAAAACTGTTTGGAATTGTAGCATTTCTTTTTGTATATAAATATTTACTGAGGATATTTTTTGGACCGCTTGAACAATATTGTATACGAACAATCTTTGGTAGGCCTATATTATAATTATAGATCTAGAAATCTATAATATCCGAAATTTGCGAGAAAGGATGAGATTTCAGAGTGTTCGGAAAAATAGTGCCTAGCTTTATTTTTCCCGAACGTCCCGGGGTGAGAATAGAAATACGATCGACCTCTCACCCCGGGTGAGACTTGCCACCGTAGGCTATTCTCACCCGGTTTGAAACAAGACCTGTTTTTCTTAATTTCGGAATACTTTCTATCGATGTGGATGATCAAATGGATAAAGGCAAAGAAAAGATTACGATAGCACAAAAGTAAGCTAATTTTATCGACTACAAAGATGCTATGGCTATTTCACTTTTCGAATCGAGCCGAACAACGGGGTCGCCATTTTGTTTTGCCCGGAAGTTCTCGCAAGATCTACTCCTCCCCTCTTCTCTCTCTCTCTGTCTCTTTCTGAATAGTGTCTATCGGTGTGGACGATCAAATTGACCAAAACAAAGTTAAAAAATAATGTTAAAACACAAAAGTAAATTAATTTGGTTGTCGATGTCCAAAGATGCTACGGCTATTTAACTTTTCGAATCGAGCCGAACTACGCCACGCGGGTCGCCATTTTGTTTTGCCCGGAAGTTCTTGCGCTACTCCTCTCTCTCTCTCTTTCTCTCCACTGCCCACAGACAAAATTGTACGCTTTTAGTAAGCTACTTGTAATGGAACGTTTGTTCACGGCACAGAATTCTACAATTTTTCTGTTATCACAGTGTAGAATTCTGTGGTTTAGGAACGCAAAATTTGTTGGCCTAGATCTAGGCTATAACGGTGAACGCGCACCGGGTGAGAATAGCCAAAAGACTGGCCTGCACTATTCTCACCCCGGGTGAGAATAGAGGTGGCCTTCGGAGAAATAGTGCCCAGATTTTTTTTCCCGAGCGTTCGGAGAAAGAAAGGCTGGATCCAAGCAGATCGGGTCAGCGGGGCCGAAGGCCCCATCGCGGCCGATGAATGCGCGGTGATTTCGGGATTATATTACGGCTATAAATGGAAGGGATGGCTCCCTATATAGAACGCCTTGGTCTAAAAAGACAAAAACTGACGTTTTGGGGTTTCTAGACTTAAAAAATGAATTGAGCGACCCCACAAAATGCTAAAGTGTAACTTTAGCTGTTCGGGAAATTGAAATGAGAACTTGAAATGCTCGTTAAGGATTGCAAAAACATATTTACGGATTGGGTCGGAACTACTTTTTGCTCGCTAAATTTAGCTGACTTGGGAACTCTCTACGGAACTACTTCTGGACAAATCTGTTATTCTGTAACTGTAATAGGAGGACTTCCGTAACGAGCGACCACTATATGAGACAGAGCAGAATTGAGGGCAGGGGATAGGGGAAGATCTAGGGGTAGGGGTAGGGTAGGGGTATTGAGGGCTAGGGGTAGGGGCAGATCTAGGGGTAGGGGTAGGGGTATTGAGGGCTAGGGGTAGACGAGCGACCACTAGGCCTATATGAGACAGAGCAGAATTGAGGGCAGGGGATAGGGGCAGATCTAGGGGTAGGGGTAGGGGTAGGGGTATTGAGGGGTAGGGGCAGATCAAGGGGTAGGGGTAGGGGCAGATCAAGGGGTAGGGGTAGGGGTAGGGGCAGATCAAGGGGTAGGGGTAGGGTTTGGGTTAGGGTTAGGGGTCGACCAGTATGAGACAGCAGAATTGAGGGCTAGGGGTAGGGGTAGTATAGGGTTTAGGGTTAGGCCTCTTCTTTATTGTGTTTGATGGGGTGGTCACTCGTTACGGAAGTCCTTAATTACAGTGGAAGGTAAGTTGTGAGATATTTCATTGAGATGTACGATGGTTGAAAGGTTGGGGTAGTTGTCATTCGAATAACCGTGAGTAAAATACTAACTATACACATTATTTCACTAAATGAGCTATTATAAAGACTAGGGGGGGAGTATTCGAGTTGTAGTTGTAGTGATTGGTCAAACGCGCGTATGAATACTTGTTGCAGGATGTAAACAAAGATGGGGCATGCAGGGACATTCGAGTGGATTTTTCAGATTCTTTAGTCGTCTCTGGGCGCAGTGAGTGCTTTTATATCGTGTTTAGAACTCAAATTATGTTTTTTGAATGGGTATTGTAGAAAGTGTTTTAATTGTTAAGTGGTTAATAGTTTTTCTTTCTCATTTTGGAGGGAAATTAACACTTTTGCTGGCGTATTAATATTTTTCCCGATTTTTCTCTATTATTTCATTGTATTGACCCGGTCTGCTTGGATTTTACCGAAAGAAATAGTGCCGGCCGATAAATTAACCTATACTTTTGGTGTCGGAGACACTTTCGTATCGTGTACACCGAAAACTATAAGGAGTTTGAATTTCAACGCTGAGATGGTAATAGATCTATCTATCCTCTATAGTGTGCTCAAACAAGCAAACAGAACTGACAACAAAAACCGAGCGAGTCTCAATTCTGCTGGGGGACTTCATCTTCCACTTCTTCTCTTCGTCTTCAGTGTCGACTGTGTCGTTGGTGAAACTTGTGCCGAGTTGTCAGACACATATACAATGAGAGAGTTCATACCTGGCACTCTGATGTACTCACCTGGTTTGAAATGAAAACAATTCAGTACTCTCAGCAGAATCTACGATGAAAGATGAATTAAAACAATGTTGTTTCCTTTTTGTCTTCTACTTCATGCCGCCATCTTGAATCTAATGTATTTGTACGACT